TATTTAGGTGGCGACTCTGTATCTGGCAAAGCAGTCCATGTTGGGCACTTCTTTCAAAAAAATCTGTTTTCTCAAAACGATTTGCCGAATTTGGACTCTTTGGTTTAGATTAAAACCGTGACAATTTGAGAGTCCGAACTTGTAGTGAGCCCAAAACGAAAAGAACGGGACTCATCCTCCCGGGGCGTTCGGGGACGTCTACAGTTTGTCATTTAACTTGGATAAGTTTAGAGATTCACTGTATAGTTTTTCATATGCTTGTTGAAGTTTGTCACCATCAATCTTGTCATTATCTTCCGAGATTTCATTATCTTCTTTTTGATTCTCTATCTCCTCAAGCGCATCCAATCAAGCAACTAAGGCATGAAGACTCCTAGATGGTTATGAAGATGACTCTCTTCTTTCATGGAATTGCAAAAGAACATCCCATGCATATTTGGCATTCTTGCAGTGAGCAATCCGTTGTTGTTTTTCTTCAGAAATTGCTTCACGGATGGTGTTTAAAATTCTTTCACTGCTTTCCATGTCAGCTCTTTCAATAGCACTCTATTCTTCAGTCGGCTTGGCAAGCTTTTGATTGGTGTCCAGATCAATCATAAATGGTGGATCAACATTCTCCTCAATTGTGCACCAACTTTTATGATCAAAAGCTTTGAGATGGACTCTCATTCTGCACTTCCAATACAAATAATTACTCCCGCCAAAAGTAGGAACACGATGCACACTAGTCTCATGAGCAAACTCAATTGGCCTTGGAGTTGATTGAGTGAAGCTAGAATAGAATGCCATGTAGGTACTATCTTTGTCTTTACCAGATTTAGTTTCTTCAGTTTCCTGCTCTGACCTATTTTCATTATCACAAGTCATTGTGTAGACTTTCTTGCGGTTCTTTTTTGACAGACATTCGAGTGCAATATGTCCAAACCCTTGGCATTCATAGCACTTGACACCTTGTCCTTTTACATTTTTCTTCTCAGCTTTCGGAGCAACTTTTGGTAGAAAAGTTTTGGATTTTTCATTACCCCTATCTTTTGAATTAGAGTCCTCGAAATTAGGCTTCTTTTTCTTTAAATTTTTTTTGAATTGTTTGGTAAACATAGCCATCATTTCGGACTCTAGATCAATTTCTACCTCAGGGTTCTTAGCAGTCTCATGAGCACTAGTAAAAGCCACATTATTTTTTTGTTTTTTCTTAGAAATCTGATGAGCTTCATAAGTTTGCAAGTTTCCAACCAACTAATCAAGCTTAAGGTTCTCAACATGTTGAGCCTTCTCTATAGCTGTCACTTTTGATTGGAACCTATCAGATAAGGAACTCAAAAGTTTTCCAACAACTTCAGATTCAAGGATTCTTTCATCGAGTGTGAAATAGGAATTCACGATGTCACTAAGCTTGGCATAAAAACCATCAAACGTCTCATCATTTCGCATAAAAAGAGTTTCAAAAGAAGAGGTGAAACGTTGAAGTTTTGATCTTTTAACAGCAGTAGTACCATCGTGAATAGTTTCAAGAATGTCCCAAGCCTCTTTTGCTACCTCACACGTACAAATACGACGAAACTCTTCTAATGTAACGGAGCAAAAGAGAGAATTGAGCGCTTTACTATTCCAACTCAAGTTTTGATAATCATTTGCATCCCATTTATCAAGAGGTTTAGGGATATCAACACCATCGATGGTGACAACAGGTTCACTCCACCCATAGATGACACAGTGCCAAGCTTTCTCATCAATAGATTTTAAAAATGCCCTCATACAAGCTTTCCAATAAGCATAGTTTGTTCCACCAAGTAACAAAGGTCTATAGGTCAAGTTACCTAATTGAATCCATGACACCAATCACACAAAATCATACTCCTATAGTTTTATTAAAAACAAAGAGTGACCTGCTCTGATACCAATTGAAAAACCTACGTGATTTGTGATTTGTAATAAATTTAATTGCATCAATTCCCAAACAATCAAAATGAACAATCTAAATCATCAAGCACGTACGAAAGTGATTTTGTTGTTTCATAATTAATAAATTGACACAAACAATTTTTATATGGAATTACAGTTGGAGCACCTCCAATTGCGATAAAAAAATCACGGGCGAAACACCACTAATCAATCCACTATAAAGAAAAAAAGAATACAAATTTACCAAACAATTTACCCGAACTCTGTAAAATTGTCTTCAACGATCCGTGTCTCTTTCACCAACATCTTCGTCTTGGAATTGATTAACTTGATTTCGAATCCACAACATACACGTCGAATCCACGACTACAAGCAGCTTCGAACTCCTTCAAAGTCTTCACACTCGAATCTTCGGATTCCACCGAAGAAGAACACTTTGTATTGAAAGATCACCTACGAAACCCTTTGATATAAACCATTCAATTCATAGTCTAACCTCTCATAGATATCAAAGGAAACAAGCAAAGAACTTCTAGAAGAAAACTCTAAAACCTAAAAAGAAGATCTGGAAGTCATACCCTAAAGACTGACTTGATCGTGGCTTTATATCAGTCAGATTCGTGATCACTGCTCTAGCGCAGGAATGGCCGCTCGAGCAGTGTGACTTAAACACGTGTTTCTGAACAAGGGTCTTCACTCAAGCGGTGAAATTTGCGTTCGAGCATAAAATCTCAACTCCCAGTACTTTTGTAGACAAGTAAAACTTCTAAGAGTATAGCTTCTCCGCTCAAGCGCAAGTTTCACCGCTCGAGCGGTCAAGCCAAAACACTAGGAAAAATTACAACTTTAAAACCATTGTTTGTTCGCAGAATTGGAAACACGTAGGGACCTAACAGAGTTTATTTTATGCTCGTATCAATGAGGCATAAGGGTTTATTAGGTTCTATTCCATGCTTGTATCGACGAGACATGGTGGATTATTGGGTGCCATTCCATGCTCATATTGACGAGACATGGGGGATTATTGATTGCCATTCCATGCTCGAATCGACAAGGCATGGGGACTTACTAAGTGTCATTCTATGGTTGTATCGATAAGGCATGGGGGTTTACATTTGTATCCTAAGTGGTTCCAAGTCTTTCCAAAATTTTCCAAGATTTGCCAAGTGCCAATTTTTAAAACTTTCCTAAATGTAGTTTCCAAAGTTTTCATTTTTTTTTAGATTTTGAGTTATCATGGTAGGAATTCTAACCATACAATTTTCTAGTGCCAAGCGTGATTTTGAAAATATTTTTTCTTTCCAATTAACAACCCAGTTGGGGGGAAGTTAAGGGTTCACTTTCCATGTGGGTGCCAACTAATTTGTGTGTTAGTGTTGTGTGATGCCATGGGACAGATGATTGAATTCTCAATTAAGATGATGTGTCTCGAAAGGTGTGCCAGTGCTTGAGCTTGAGTTTAGGATGTACCTGTGCCTTGAGGATGTCCAAGAGGCGCCATAGGTTGACCATACGTACAAGGCATGTAGGCCATACGTGTAGCAGCATAGGATGTGTGCATATATATCAAGCCAATATGCGCACGCACAATTGGCCAGCGTGAACAAACTTGCCACGACCCGAAGGGTTTAAATTGCCTTCCAAGCTTCATTTCCCTCACTACCACTTTCAAAAACCCCTTTTTTTCCTACTTAGCTCCTTCCTATTCGACCTCGGTGCCCTCTCATCGTCTGATGGTTCGATGTTCCATTCTACTTTTCGGACTCCTTGCTTTATGACCTCCGTTTTTACCAAACGGTTTCCAATTTCGACCACTTCTCAATCATTCTCAAGTATTCCAACTATTTCCTTGACTTTCCCGGCTTTTCTTCCATTGTTGCATGCTATTATGACTTTCTGCGAGCTTTTTCGGTGACTTTTTGACTATTTCCATGAATGCCCAGGGTTTTTCCTTATATGTTTGTGAATATTTTTCCCATGCATGTTATTCTATTATCATCATTGTCCCATATTGCCCAAAAACACCCATGCATTTTGAATCTTTGACCCATTTTCTGTACTTTTTTGCTATGGTTACCATCTTTCACATCATTTTCTCACTATTTGGCCATTGTGTTGCTTGTGACAGACTCATTGATGGCTGGGCAATTTCTTCTTTTTGATGTTGCCAGTTATGTACCTCTTGCCCATGCTCTGCGGGTTAGGATGGAGCGATTTCACCCTTTTGCTCCCAAGCTAGCCAACAACAACACTGTCTCCCCTGCTTTCAATCTTAAGAACTTCATTAGACCTGAAAGTGGACCAACCAGAAACCTTGGATACTCCTCTGACCACCACAAGATCATACATCCAATCAGATGCAAGATTAATCATACTCAATTTTCCCCTTCGATATGCTATATCTATCTATCTATCTATACATACATTTCAAGTCAAACTCGATGTGCCATCTTTATAAACCAAACAACTTGAACTTAACTAATATTTTTTTTGTGATGAATATAAAAACATACAAATAATAAGATAACATGCGTAAGCAAAAAATCAATAAGATATTGCATACAAAATCTAAAAATTTTGGTTGCTCGTTGTAGGTGGTAGAGACACTGACACACCCTAGTAGGACAAGGTGGAATCCGATGCAAGAACAAATAGGGATACTAGAGATGTTGTATAGGGGTGGAATACAGGCTCCAAATGCGCAACAAATATAACAAATCACAGCCCAACTTGGAAATTATGGAAAGATCAAAGGAAAAAAAAATGTGTTTTACGAGTTCCAAAACCACAAGGGCTGCGAGAGGCAGAAGCAGAAGCGCAACAGTGTTGGCCGCAGCCAATGTCCAAGGACTCCATCCATTACCACCACGACCACCACCACTATAGCCACGACAAGGAAAAGGAGATATTGCAACGTTTTTTTAATGGCATTTTTTGAAACGCCATTAATTGTCAACCAATCACAACGTTTCAAAAAACGCTGTCTTAGAACTCAATTTCACCGTCAATTCAATTAAACGTTAAAGAGGGTTAACAGATGCAACATTCCTCACTGTCTGTCGCGAATTTTCTCTCCTTGCTCTCTCCACTGATCTCTCTCTCTCACGAATTCTCTCTCTCCTTGGTCTCTGCACTGAAAGCTGTCGATGAAGATGTACATTTGAAGCCTCTCTCCTTGCTCTCTCCACTTAATTGAAGGCTCTCCATGGAAATTTTTTGAGGGCTCTCGAGTAGGGTTTGAAGGTTGATTATACCAGATTTGCGTTTCTCTCCTTCTATTCACAAATCTGTAAGTTATCATCATTTCGGACCTGTATATATATATATATATATGCATGTTTTGTTTGGTTTGTCAATTTCTATGCCCTTTCTCTAAATTGATCCATAAACTAATTTTATAATTGATCCATAAACCCTAAAAAATGAAGGGAGTAAAGATCATGAAACACTGTCTTTCAATTGATTATTTTATATGCAGGCTCTGATTTTGATTCCCATCTAACTCTGTCCAGATTCCACACCACCACCCAACCCCACCCCCCGGTGCGGGTCATTGAAGGGCTTTCATCTAGCTAATTTTCTGAAGTGTAGTTGTAACCATGAGGAAATTAATACTTTTCAGTGCAAACATGGTGGAATTCTTGGAAAATAGCTTTTATTTTTTTATTTTTTTGATAAGCAAGATTTTAAAATTTTGATGAAATAATACAGTCCCTAATATTGGGATTCCACATTATGTAGCTGGGTTCTAGTATCTTGGTCTGATGCATGAAAAAAGACAAGATGCATAAACTACATGCTGATTTGGGTCAAATTTGTTTATTTCATTTCATTGACAAGATAGAAATGGTTCTGCAATTTATTGTTATCTAATATTTTCCTGATAACCAAAGCGGATACCTTTTGCTACTAGTTCTTTCTGTTTCTCATTATGCTTCAGCCTTTGAGGGGCTGTCTTGTCTTTCAATCTGAATTTGAAGAATCACGCAGGGCGTGGGAAAAGCATACAATGAGTTGAAACAAGGAGAGCCAACAATTGAACGCTTGTTTGATTTGACCAGGTTCCAATCCAAGGTAAATTTTTGGTTTAATCAACTTTGGTTATTTTCAATTTCTAATAAATATGGTTAGGCAGAGGCATTCCCTTGAATATAGACAGCCGATAAATGAAAAATAAAAACAGGGCAATGAAGTGTAAACCTTAGGTATTAGGGACATCGGTAATTTTCATTTTCTAAGAAATATGGTTAGGCGTTCCCCATGAATAGACAAGTCGATAAATGAAAAATACAAACAGAGCAATAAATGTAAACCTTAGGTATTAGGGACATCAAAGGCATCCCACTGGTGTGAATGTTTACTGGTGTGAATGTTTTTACCTATTGCAACAAAAGACTTCTGGAATTCATGGCACCTTTTCATTTACTGGTGTGAATGTTTTTATCTATTGCAACAAAAGACTCTTGTTTGTTAGTAGCACAGCTGTATTTCACTGGTTAGGAAACTTTGAGAGGGTACTCCAGTTTATTGCGATGTGATAAGGTTGTAATCTGCTGTACTGTACTTTGCTGCTCTATAAAAATAATTAGACCTTACTTCGATAACCATATATATATATATAGAATTCGTCCTACAAATCACATGCATGAATATGCTCAGCAAATTTAGAACTTAAAATGGCCATTGAATTTTAATTAGTTTGTGTTCATCAAATGTCTTTTACGCTGATTTTTAGTAATTAATTATTATTTTTGTTGGATATAATATTTATCTTTCTGTGTTGATTTTCAGTCACTCAAGCTATTTCAGCCCAGGTACATAATTGTAAATTACCTTGATTTTTTTATTATTGTCTTCCTCTTTCAAGGTCCTCGTCTAGGGTTTTCATCTCATGTACCCTCTCTCTCTCTCTCTCTCTCTCTCTCTCTCTCTCTCTGGGTTTTACCTTCGGATCTTTGTTTTGCTGTGTTTTGTTTTTGGCTTCTTCATTTAATCTTTATAGATGAAATATTAAATTTGACTTAAATTGGTTGAATCAGAAGGAAAATGTTCTTCTTGTTGAATAAAAATTGATTCTTTTTTATTGTGGTTTCTGTTGTGGTGACAGTACATAAATCTGAAGAAAGGAAAAAGTTTCAGCCATGAGGTATGCCAATTTCTGATTTTGTTATCTGGAGTTTCTTTGGTTCTGTTTATGGTGTCCAATTCACTCCAAAAATTCTAACAAAGTGTATTTGTTTTTCTAAATTGTTTGTATAAATTTTGTAACTTTATTAATCTTAGGGTCTATTTTGCTGCTCATGGTTGAATGCATTTAATATGAAGTTGGGTGATGTGGGTATGACTGAGATTTTTACCATCAACTCAAAAAACTTTCTTTATGATTGAGCCTGGGATTTAAAGTTTTCATTGATCTTTCTTAGAAAGTGGAACTTGTTAGTTTATTGCTGTTGTTATCTTCAGAAATTTGAATGTGTGCTGTTAGCTTGTTTAAATTTATTTTATTTTATTTTTTTTGTAGATTTTTAGGGTATGCTCCAGTTTATACCCAGATTAACACATTTTATTAGTTTTCTTGTATTCTAGGCACTAGCATTTTTTTTTTAAAAAAATTCTGGCTATGTTGTATCGAAGTCAGTGCATTTACATTTTATAGTCATCTAATTCAAACAACTAGTATGCATTCATTTGCTCTTTTTACATTTTAAAAATTCAGGTGTCTTTATTGCTAATTTCCATTTTTATCCTTTCTAACGCGGCTACTTTTTCCTCTTCTACAGTAAGCTTCAGAGTGATGCCTTGAGGGAAGCCATTACCAAAGTCTCTCTCTGTACTCGTGTATATATGTATGCTTATAATTGTTTGTACTTTAGTATCTGTGATTATGGCATTGATGGTGTTTCTATTGACAAGTTGCAGTTAAATTGGCTCAATGTTCAACTTGAAAAATGTCTCTTGTTTCAAGCATTTGACCTCTGCGAGAAGTCGGTGCTACATTCTAACATTCTCTTCTTCTGTGTTTCTCATGGCATATCTGCCTAGCCTTGCTCTTTCCCCTGGCATCAACCACAGCCACATCCCCCTCCGGCACCATCTCCTTCTCTGCCTACCCCAACCCTCACCACCAAACACTATCACCTCTTTCCACTTCATTGTCTATTCCCAACAGCCGAACACCACACCAACCACGGTTCCAACGCTACCACCACAAAAACAACCCACCACCAAAGCCTCTATCAACACCACCACAATCTAATCACCACCAACATTAAACTCAGTAGCTAGTATACGGATGAATTAACCAAAATTCTTCTAGTGATGATTAGAGTCGATTACTTGATATTTTAATAACTCAGTACTTTTCATTTTTTACACTACTCTTTGGTTCTTCTCAGTCAAACTCGAAGAACAACTGACAAGCAAGTATTAAAGCAACTCAGACCTTTGATTGTTAATAGAGAGGTCATAATAATGTTGTCTGAATGGAAGAGAGGGGGAAGATGCATAGGGCGGTACTGTGGGGAAGTTGGAGGTGGGTTCGGTGGTGGAGTGAGTTTAATGGTGGTGATCCTGTGGATGGAGATCTCCATTCATGTCCTTGGTTTGTATTGAAATAGTGTTAATTGTGAAGCTATAGAGAAAGAAGGATGGGTCGGATTGGCATTGGGAACAAGAGAGAGATACTACCAACTGGCTGAGGTGGCAGACCGTAATTGGGAACAAGAAAAAGTTAATTCTTTTTAGATTTATTCATCCACAATAATGTAATAAGAGAATTGAATTTTATATTAGTGAAAGTTATTAAAAAGTCCAACCGACACAGGGTTTAAGTTATTAGGTTCAATAGATATTTTTGTATTGATGATAGATTCACCCTTGTGAAATCGTTTGGTGAGAAATCCTTTTGTTTGTTTTGAAAGATATTTAGTTTCTAATTTTATTCTCTAATTTATCTGTTTAATATTTGACTATCTGTTCAAATTTATATCTATATGTTCAAATTATTTTCTATCTGTTTAAATTTATATCTATTTGTTCAAATTTTTGACTATTTGTTTAATTTTCCCGCTATCTATTTAAATATTTGTCCAAATTTTATTATGTGTTCAATTTTTATTTTATTTTTTCTATCGGTTCAAAACAGATCTGTCTTATCTCTCAATTTTTTATTTTATTTTATTTTTATTTGTTGCAATCTGTTTCTTCAACATCATCATCATCAATAATTTTTATTTTTATTTTTTTCTATCTATTCAAAATAGATCTATCTTTTTGACATTTTTTTTATTTGTTGCAAAATAGATGGGCGAGGGTTTGGGGGATTTTGACCATTCTCGATAGGATAAGAGGCCTCCATTGCAATACCACATTTTCCAGTGCAACCCGCATTACGCTCCATCCTGATGTGGCCACTCCCTCCCCAGCTTGCACCCCATGAATTCTTGACAATCCAGTATTTCACACCATTCTCTGTACCATATCCAACAGCAGTAACACCATGGTCTAGCGTTGTCCTGCATTTCCCTGAGAATATACCCTGAAGATATAGTAAATAAATGAAGGATTAGATTACTCAGGTATTTCATCAACTTCCAACAACTTACCACTGTGTTTCAATGCCTTTACTTTGTGTTCGAAGAGGAATTTCAAAAAATTTGTAGTCAAGTAGTCAGTGTAAGGCAATATGGTCATCTCCATTAAGTACCATCGAACTCATTTCTGATGGATTGTTGAATCGTTTGGGATATGAATTAAGTCCACAAAAACTTTGGTTGAATCTTTTTTGTCTTTCCGTCCTCTCTCTCTCTCTCTCTCTCTCTCTCTCTCTCTCTCTCTCTTATTTTATTTTTTTGTTCCTTCCCACAAAGAGTTGAGGGCTTCGTAATTAGATTATACTTTGAACAAATCATTAAGGTTGATGTTAATTCCATAAAATGAAGTATTAGTTTCAAGCCATTGACTCTCAAGATGGAATCTTTCCCTTGTAATCTACATCCTTCTTAGCATGGAACCTGAGAAGACAATTTTCAAAAATAAGTTTTCAGTTAAATGAGCATTATAGCCTTTGTTATTTTTCAATTTAAAATTGCCATGAATCTTTTAATCTTAGTTGATTTAATTCAAATTCCAAGTTAATTAACCAAATATAAATGTGCCAAAAAGGAAAAATCAATCAAATCAAGAAATTACCTGAAAAAAATTCAAAATGGAAAAAAATAATAATAAATAAACATGGACAGAAATACTATAATCAAGATCAAGCACAAAACTGACAAAAATTCCAAGACGCAAATATCCTACCTACTCAACACCCAATTCCGTAATCCGATTTGCCACATCTATCCAATCTCACACTTGTACCTTTATATCTTCACTAGTTACATCAACCACACGCATATAATTCTCCAAGCTTCAAATTCAATCAATGCAAATGCAATACTAAGTCTATATGCACTAGGTTTCTTTTAAAAATATGAAAGAAGTGTATAGACTAAACTCACTCAATTTCTCCTAATGCATAATACAAACTCAACTCTGTGCTCAAATTCCGAACAAATAAGCCAAGCAGACATGTATAAAAATGAAACCTATTAAGGGAACAAGGACTCAAAAAAACAAAGAATTTTGTTCAGACAATCCATCCTTTCTTTTGAACTATGAGGCCTTGTTAATCCCATGAATTAGTGTAGGATTAGTTATCCAATTAAATTAGTAACATAACCATTTATTATGTATTTATTATTTTTTTTTTTTCATACTTGAAATTATAATCCCAACCCCTCTCAATATTAAAAATAAGTTAATTTCATCGAATTGAATATCCGTCGTACCTGTAATCTGATTAATAAAATTTGCAATCAAATATGAGATGGGGAGTCTCTCTCTCTCTCTCTCTCTCTCTAGAGTTTGTGAGATCCAAGCTAGGGGTGGGTAGAAATTAGGAGGAAAGGAGGGGACTAGCGGGGCTGGGGATGGTTGGCTCTGACGGGATCCCTCATTTATTTTCATTCTCTTTCTCTGCATGTTTTGTTAATTTTATTTTATTTGTAATCCAAAACAACGTTCTTTTGGCAATACTCTAGGAACTACTCTAAGAAATCTACTCTAGAGGATCCTTGCGCAAAAGGCATAACTCTAATATGTCTAAACATCTTCTTCATGTCTTTCTTCACGGCTAGCTGTTAGCATTGTAATTGAAACTTCCAATTAAGAGCACCAAATCTTCAACAATCCACAACTACAAATGCACACAATTTCCACGTTGGATCTTCTATTCTAATGTTTTGTCCCATTTTTTTGTGTACTATTGGATCGTTTGCAATTGAAAACCAAGCTAAATGACAAGGGAGAAAAATCTAGCGACACAAATTGTGAGGGATAGTGATTTTTGAATAAGAAAGTCTGTCCCTAGTTTATTTGTCTCTAATGACGTTCATGACAACGTGTGATAGTATAGGAAGAATGAGATTTTGGGGAACGGAAATTACATTTTGGGGAGAGAAGACTCAATTCTGTGTCATGCTTTAATCTTACTGTTTTTATCTTTTTCATAACTAAAGTCTAGATAAAGAACAAGATTATGTGTTAAATAGTTTCACAAACAGCATGTCAAAATCTATCTCACATTTTAAAAGTATGAATCCTTTCTGTCTATTAAGTCTTGTTTGGGAGTTGTTTTTTTTATTTATTTTTTATTTTTTTATAGTATTTTTTGACTTTTTTTATGAATTGTAAAAAGTGTTTTTTAGAAAAAAAAAATTCGAAATAAATTTCTGAAAATTAAATGAAACATGGCTAATTTCTTTGATAATGGTTTTTGTTAGCTGTATCAAAAACTATGATTTAGATTTTTGACTTTTTTTCTTAGACTTTTTTTAATTTATTTTTTTTTATACTTGTCAGCTATTTTAATCAAAATGTCAAGTTATCAAACGGCACGTAAAGCGCAAAATGGACATTTGGAAAAATAGTAAAAAAAATTAAAAATAAACAAAGTACTAAACTATTTGTCATCATCTAAAAATGCTAAATATTACATCAACTTTTTTCACTCACAAGTACGCATGGCCGTTTCCCCCCGCTTTGCTCCTGCTACATATCCCGCCTCACTCTGCATAGGTTTTCCTTGCTCCGATGAAAAAGTGGGGCGGGTACAAGTTTTGCTTCCCTGTACGAGATTGATCCGATTTTTTATTAGTTTTACAATGAAAATTTTCTTCTCAATCTAAAAAAATATATATAATTTTTTTTCATTATAATAAAATTAAAACATTAAAATATTATTCTTACTATTAATTTTTGCTCATTTATTTTATATCTTGTATCTTATAATATTCATTAATTATTGTGAGAGGCAAAAATAAAGAGTTTCATTCCAAGCAAAAAATGTGTAAAATCTGAGCAGAATTTGCACATAGTAGCATTAAACCGAGCAGAGACACTTTGACGACCAAATTAGCAGGTCCATAAGACCAAGGGACTATTGGAGTTTGAGATTCAATTAGTTTGTTAAAAAAATTTAATTTGATTTGGTTTAGGTATAGTGTATTTTAATATATTATATATAATTTTTAGAGATTTAATTCAGTTTAGTAACAATTAGGGTTTGATTATAAAACCCAAGATTCAATAATATATATGTACATATATATATATATATATATATATTATTTTAGTGCTTCGAAAAATTAGTGAGGCAGCAGCTAATTGATTTCGGTGAAATAGGACTTGAAGATTTGTGTGGCTGCTACAAATTTAATTCATAGTTGTCCAAAAAAGTGCTGCGGCTGTTATATGAGATTAGTGTTCAATCTCGGTGGGTGCCGTTTGGCTACATGAGCTTGGAAGGTTTGTTTGGGTGCATATTTGATTGCTTGAGTGGAGATTGATTTGGGTCTATTATTTTGGCTCTTCTACGACTTTGGTTTCGAAGACTTTTGTTCATCTATTTGGTGAGGTCTTTCCTCTTGTTTATTTGTGATTATTCAGAATTCACCTAAGGATGGTTTTGTGAGACCATTTGTGTCTCGTTTATAATCGTTTGGAAACTTCTTTGGTTGATAGTGGAATCAGATTTCGAACCCGTGGACGTACCTCACATTGAGGGAACCACGTAAAATTCTTGTGTTGCTTTTAATTTAATTTTTTCGTATTAGTTTTTATTCCCATTAATTGATTTACTTGTGGGGAATCACATATCTTTCTTAACAGCTGGTATCAGATTTTACGATTCATTTGAGTTTATTTATTTGTATAAATCAATGGAGGGAAATGTGGGTCGTATGTCTAGCTTCAATGGAAGTAATTGGGTAACGTGGAAAACTAAAATGGAGGACATATTATTTTGTAAAGATTTGTATGGGCCTATTGAGGGTGATAGTGGCAAACTTGATGATATGAAAGATGATGAATGGAAGAGGCTTAATCGAAAAGCCATTGGTGTTATTTGTCAATGAATTGATAACAGTGTGTTTCATTATGTTGCTACTGAAACTTCAACACTTGATTTATGGAAAAAAATTAGAAGGCCTTTATGATAGGAAATCAGCCACCAATAAAGCTTTTCTGTTTCGTAAATTGGTTAATTTAAAATATAAAGAGAGTAGCCCTATTCCGGAACATCTGAATGAAATAAAGAGTATTGTTAACCAACTTGCTTCTATGAAA